ACATCTCTGTCAACAGTGGCAGCATCTCCCATGTCCCCAGAGCTTACTTGGTGGCCGTCCATTGGTCCATTGTAGTGTTTAAACACAACCCCCTACCCTCCTACCCCCACTTCCTTCCTTGAGGGCAGTAACAGTGCCCTCTCTACTCTCCGGTCCTGGTGCACATAGGAAGGAGTGTTAGTAAATGGTAAATGCCTGTTGGTGTAGCGGCGGTGTCTCATTTATGCTACTCCCTATGTAGACCAGGCTAGCCTGGAACTCACAAAGGTCCTCCTGCCTCTGCTGAGTGCTGGCACCACCACACCCAGCACATTTATGTTTTAATAGTCCTCATCTCTGTTATATTTATGTTTTGTGACAGAAAAGCCAAACCAGCCCTACTGTGTTCCATTTTTGTGAATGGTAATGATCTGAAACAGTCTTTGCAAGTACCAGGTGAAAATAATGCTTCTGTGGTTTCTGGAAGACACAGAGTGATACATTGAGACAGCTTTTAATTAGTGTTGCCCTTGCGATTCTCTGTGGTACACATTCCACTTTCCTAACTACAACATTAACACAATTATTTTTTTATTAGCACAGGATTGCAGAATGGAAATAAGAGTTTTACAGTGCCTAATGTTTTACACAGCGTCACGTGGTTATGTGCCAGACAGATGATGTTGACTGCTCAGTGCCAGATGTTCAAGGAGGGCGGGGAGGAGCAACAGGAGCTACCAGAGGCAGCAAGGTCTGAGGATGCCCAGTAGTGTCCCAGCATGCCATCTGTCCAGACAGGCGGGAGGAGCAACAGGAGCTACCAGAGGTGGGGCAGTCCTTTTTCCCTTTTAAAGAAAAAGTAGACAAGACCATCCACCAAGATGCTTAAAGCATGACTGAGTGTTTGTCATGTGGGTGCCTCATATAGCATCCTGACTCTGTGTCCTTTGGCCCAGAGATGCCTGTGCTGTTCATGTTGCTACTCACGGTCTTTGTGTAGAACCTGCTGCATGCCTCCCCCCTTTTCCTTCCGCTTTTGCTCACCCTTAGGTACATACAATCCCAGCGTCTTTCTGTCCTTCGGTAGGGGCACTGTGGCCGTCTTCAGGATTCTGAACACCGCCTCCAGGTCTCCCTCTGGATGCTCTTGGGATGGGGAACAAGACTGATTACATGCCAAGTCCCATGCTGTCTCAAGAGGAGAGTGTGGCTGACCTGGACATGGTCATGAAAAGGATGCTTAGGTTACATACCTCACTTTACTCAGAGAAACTGGGCCTTTTATTCTGTCTTTTTCCATTAAAGATAGAGATGCCTTCTGTAGCAGGGTCTTTTGCTTTACCTCAGCACTTATTCAGACTAAGACTTACCTGAATGAAAAAACCAGGAGTGGTTTTTGGGGTGGGCCTGGCATGTGACTTGCTTTGTGCAGAGTCTCTGTGCCCTAGGGTATTTGCATCACCAGTGTGGCCAGGTGCCCTTGCTATGTGTTACCCTTAGGAATATATGCCTACTGGCTACCTAGATGAAGTTGGACAATTGCCTGGAATGTCTTGGCACCGACATTATTTATTACCTTTTATTTCCCAGCCCTGATGATTTTAGTTGTATGCTTTACACATTCAGGTGTTATCACCAAGCTCAACATAATTAACTTCAGTGCTGTCCGGGTTTTATGCATTGTAGCTTACTTACTTAGTAGCATTTACATGATTTTGAAAAATAATCATATAAATATAGGTTGTAACGAGAGGTTATAATCATTATCTTCCAGATTGTATTCATGTGGATGTATACTTTGTCATTCTTGTTAATTATTATTAGCTTCTAAGTGCTAAATCAAACTTATCCTTAATTAAAGTAATTTTATTATTGGAAAACCAGTTAAGGTTAAATGATCTTTTCAAGTGTAATATATTACCAAATAATTGGAATCCTTTTACTACATAGACATTAGTAAAAAAAAAAAAAGAACTTATTTTTGTTTAATATAGTTGAATAGATTTACATTCTATGCAGTTCTGCACTAGAAATGTCACTGGGGACTAGGTTAGGGTTAGTACTCAATTCTTAGAGCTTGGCCATTTCTGCAGGAGGTTGTATTTCATCTTCCTTATTTCTCAGTGTACATTAACTTCTGTTATATTTATCTACTGATTTTAAATCTGTGACTGCATTAGTCTTTATTGCGTTGTATAAGTGGGGGAGTCTCACATGGGAAGAAGGTCAGAGGGCACCTTGGAGTCATTATTCTTCTACCAGATAGGTCCCAGGCTTTGAATTCAGGCTTGGTGGCAAGCACTGTACTCACGGAACCATCTTGCCAGCCTGATATTTATTTTTTTTAAACAGAATTGTACTAGGATCAAATCATGATGAACTAACCTGCATGTTCCTGACTGCAGTTTTGCAGCTTTGACACAGGTGTGTGTGTTACCACCACCAGCACAAGGGCCATGTCCCTTGTCTTCTCCGAGTGTTTCTCTCTAACTGTGCATCTCCCCATCCTCCCCTCTCACAGCCACCCTCTGCTCTGTCACCGCAGAGGCCTACATGTCCTAGAACTTGAGATGAATGGAATCACTGATGTATTGTCTCACACAGAATGTTTGCTAACTTACTCATGGTGATGTGTGGGGCGAGCAGTGAGGCTGGGGTGTAGCTCAGTTGGTAGAGTGCTTGCCCAGCACGCACAAAACCCTGGGCTCAGTCTCTGGCACGCTTTCAACTGTGATGGTGCACGCCTGTAGTTCAGCCTCTGGAGGCAGAAGCAGGAAGGTTAGAAATTGGAGGTCATCCTCCATTACTTAGTGAGTCCCTGGCTGGCCCGGCACTCCAAGGGCAGTTCTCAAGCACAGACAACGCTGCTCATCTGCTCCTCTGTTGATGGACCTCTGGGCCGTTTCCTTTCCTTTTGTGAGCTGAGCTTTTTAAGAAACTGCCAAATACTTTCCTTGTAGATTCCACAGTTTATGGTTGTTTTGATTCTGCTTTGCAGTGTTTGCCTGGCCTTGAACTGACCCTCCGCCTGGCCCTGAACTGCCCCCCCCGCCTCTACCCACCTTCAGAGAGTGTCTGGTGGCGGGAGGGGTAATAAGCAGGTGTGTACCACCGTTTTCCTTAGCAGTGTGAGAGCACACTCATGTCTTTCTTGCTGCACTTGGTATAATTAGACGTTTTCATTGAGTATTTGGGGTGTTCGATGGTAGTTTTCATTGACACTTGCCTGATAATTGATATTGAACATCTCTAAATTTATTTTTATTTTATATGTATGGGTGTTTTGCTAACATGTATGCCTGTACACCACATGCATGCCTGGTGCCCTCTGAGGGCAGAAAAGTGTGTCAGATCCCCTGGGGCTGGAGTTAGGGATGGTGTGAGACACCATATAGGTGATGGGAACTGAGCCCAGGACCTCTTGGAGACTAGAGAGTAGAGAGTACTGACTGCTGACCGTCTCTAGTTCTTCCCATGCTCATATTGGGTGTTAAGGTTAATTTTGAGAGGTTTCGTGTACTTGGGTAAAGTTACTTATCAGATGGATGCTTTATCTCAGTGTGCAGCTGCCTGTTCCTCTCTCCTTGGGCACTTTTGAAGACTGAGGGTCTTAGATTTTGATGACATCTAACCTATGATTTTTTCTTTTTCTTTTTCTTTTGTTTTCTTTTTCTTATTTTTTTATTTTTTGAGACAGGGTTTCTCTGTGTAGCTTTGGAGCCTATCCTGGAACTCGCTCTGTAGACCAGGCTGGCTTCCAACTCAGAGATCCGCCTGCCTCTGTCTCTCAAGTGCTGGGATTAAAGGTGTGCGCCACCAACGCCTGGTAAGCTCCTCACCTTTAAGTTGGGCTACGAATGTATTTTTTTAGTTGTTTTGAAAAACAAGAAAAGGGATTCTTGCTTGTGTTCATACAGGGAGTGAATGTGACAGTCTCTGTGGGTCTAGAGAGAGCCCTGTCACCAGGCCATCCAAAGTGAGAGAATGGGGCTTGCTGTTCCTGCAAAACCTCTTTTCCATCTCCCCCTTGAGTAATAGTGTTGGAATGATTAGATTTCTGTATGTAGAAGGTGAACTTCGATCCATAATGGACATCAGATAAAATTAACACAGACTATAATAGATCTAATCTGAATCTGAACAGTGTAAAGTTTCTAGAAGAAGATCAGTGATTTTCTTAGGATACCACACTGTACAAGAGCAGTGTAAAAAGGAAAGTGTCCTAAGGGCTCCAGGACCTTTGCAGCAGTGCTTCTGTCTATGCCCAGGTCTAAGCTGCCTTCCCTTGGCTCAGCCTCAGCCTGCTGCTGAGCCTCAGACTCAGGATGCTCTGCTGCGGCTCCTTCCTCAGCCAGCACAGTTCTGGAGTGGTTGTGTGTTCACCTCACCTGCTGCTCAGCCTCTAGCAGGGACTCTTGAGAATCACCCACAGCCTAGGCTCCAGGATCTGTTCACAATCTGACCTGTCTTCTCCTTTCAAATGCCTCTTCCTAGCTGTCTGGCTTGGTGCTGCCTGCCGGTGGTGCAAAAGCAGAGGCAGGTGAATCTTTGAGTTCAGGGCTCGTCCAGTGTACTCAGCAAGTTTCAGAACAGCCAGGGCTACACAGTGAGACCTGGTCTTAACAAATACACGCCAACAGATTCTTGGTAGGTGTCACCCTTTCTTCATTTGTTCATTTGTCAAAACCGAACCGCACACCCTTCTGTGTGTGGAGATGCAGTTGAGGAAATGCATGGAGCCTCCGTTGCTGGGGATGACCAGAGCTGCTGGGTGAAACAGTTTGACCCATGCCCACATTTTCTAACCTGCGGTCTCTCTGTAGGCCTCAGACAGCCATGGGTTCTCTGATCTCCTCTCAGAATGTCTGTGAATGAGCCTTTTCTCTTTGTTTTTGTTTTCCTGGGGGGCACAGAATTCAGAGATTCTGAAAAGTTTAGCCTAAGGCTTGGTGGGGGTGGTGTCTCACAATTCTGCATTGCTTTTACTGTGATGTTCAAACATGAAATGTGCTCCCCATATGTTCCTTCTGCAGTCAGAGCTCCAGACCCCAGCTCCTCAGGATCCGTGTGTGAGCCCGTCATCGTGTCTCCGCATCACTCTGACTAACTGGTGCAGTCCTCCTGAGCAGCGGAGGACCTGTCTTCCACCCTCCTCCACCCTAATTTATCATCCCTCGTAGAGACTGGCTGCTTGCCCACCCTCCGTACCTGACACCACATCCATGCAACTCCGTCTGCCTGTGGGATTGATTCAAACTCTGGGATGTATGTAGGACCTTTTTTTTTTTTTTTTTTTTGACAGCATATTTAATGCTTGTTACTATCCCAGGTCCCCCTTCCTCATCAGATAGTGTCCTTCAGCTGAGGGTAGACAGTGCATAGACCCTGACTGGTGAGAAAAGCAAGGGACTCTGGGCTCTGTGAGGCCAGCAGTTCCTCACAGCTGGCCCCAGTCTAACTTTCAGGGATCCTTTCTATCGCCACTTAGAGCTTTGTACAGCTGGCCGGCTCTGCTCTGCCTCCCTGCTCATCTGCCTCCCACCCTCATCCACGAGCCCAACAGCTGGAGGACCAGACTAAGGTGGTGTTTGCAGTTCATGCAAGTAAAAGGTTCTGCCCTCTTCTAAGTGGTCGCCTTAAAGCCATCCTGGCTGGGCTTTTCCCTTGCAGGGCGCTCAGTCCCCTGACAGTTGGCCTTCACTCCATGCCACACGCGTGCCTGCTTCTCATACTCCTTTGTGTGGTGATTTTGGAAGCTTCAAACAGGTGACTTCTAAGGGGCTCTTCTTGGCTCATTTGTTCATGAGTTCAAAGTGACTAAGCAGGATCTAAGCTCGCAGTCAGTCCCGTCCCCTGTTGCAGTTCAGGGAGTGTGAGTAGCTCTTTGAAGCTTCATAGCCAGTGATGCCCTTGCTGTGGGTATTCTATGGAATACTCTTTTCTAAAGTGGAGCAGCTTTGTCTGCACAAAACTCTCTTAAGGCCAGAGGCTTCCTCATGGTTCTTTGTGGCCCTGCAGAGCCCCTAAGTGGCTCCTGATGTCCAGGTTTGCTCCTGGCCTGCTGCAGTTTGGGGGCTTTGATGCATTCATCTGTGGCCGGCCTTTCTGTTCTTGGGCAGTTTCCTGACCCCTGACGTCACATGAGCCACATTTCCATGTTTGACCCACGCATTCCAAATGAAAGAACTTCAGAGTCTCTCCCTTGTTCATCATTCCTGCTGTGGGTTCATCCCTGGCCCGGAAGGGTCATCTAGAACTTCCTTACTATGAGCGGAGTGGCGATTGAGGGGAGAGAAAGAAAACAAAAGTGCTTTTTTACCACTCAGCTGTTTTTATTAGTTCTTTTGCTTCTGTCATAATCGTATCTGTGTTAGCACTTGAGCTGTATTGTGACTTTACAAAGTCAAAGATAATAGATTTCCAGTATTGGAGAAACAACTTCAGGAAGACGTTTTAAGCACAGCAGCTCTCGCATCTGTAGACAGTGAACATGAGGCGCCCACCCAGCAGAGCCTTCCATGCCTCATAGCGGGGTTGGTTCCTAACTGTCACTGAGACATGCAAGTTCAGGACTGAGAGTCTAGGCAGGTCTGTGTCATGCTCTCTCCTGCGAGACCATGGACTTGTAGAGAGTAGTGCCCACCTTGTTGGATGGCTACCCAGGAAGCCAGTCAGTGCAGGCAGCTGTTTGGCTCTCCTTGGACTCTTGGTGTAGTTGTTTGTGGACTGAATTCACTGTCTTGTCTCAAGCAGAAACATGCCTCAAGTGCCAGACTAAGAAACAGGATGTCATCAACATCTTCATGGCCCCCAGGCTTCAGCTCCTAATGTGTCCCATTGTTTTGAACACCTTTCTTATAAAAAAAAAAAAAAAAAATCTTACCTGAACTCCTTAGTGCCTGGTCTCTTACACTCAGGGTCAGGTGACTTACTTATTCTGTGTCATTGTAGATCACACACTCAAGTTGCTGGTGACTTTTAATCCCAATCCTTTATTGTTTTGCAACTTTTTCTGTACTGAATGCATATTTTATAATTGAAGAAAGTTACTATTTGTGGGGTTTTATTGGTTGGTTCGTTGTGCTTATTTTGTGTGCTTGGAATTGAACCTAGGGCCTCAGTGAATGACAGACATGTGCTATACTGCCCAATTACATGTGAGGAGAGTCAAATACATGTTAGGAGAGTCACTTACATGTTAGGAGAGTCAGTTACATGTTAGGAGAATCAGTTACATGTTAGGAGAGTCAGATACATGTTAGGAGAGTCAGTAACATGTTAGGAGAGTCAGTTACATGTTAGGAGAGTCAGATACATGTTAGGAGAGTCAGATACATGTTAGGAGAGTCAGTAACATGTTAGGAGAGTCAG